GGGGCCCTCTGGTCTCTACCTGCATGGCCTTGCTTACCTAGGACACTGTTCCGCTCTCTCAGGACTCTGACCACATCAGCAGCAGTGAGCAGTAACCTGGGCTCACACATCTGCAACAGCGAGAGTGTGTAATTTCTCTTAGTCCGGGGGGTGCAGCTCACAAACCAGGACAGCATTTCGTTCATCTTCTGTTCCACTGTTTTCTCCAACATTTGATTCAAAGAGAACTTCACAAGTTTCCCTTCCTTCTTGCTGATGTGGATTCGGGACCTGCTGTAGATGAAAGCTTTTCCCTGTGTGAGCTGAAGCATGTCTTGGAAATAGTGTAACAAATATAAACTGTCTAACTGCTTCAAAATACTAACTAGGAACCTCCTCTGAGACACCTCACTGATACGTAGGAACCACTCTTTGGTAGAGAAGATTTTCCAGGCCAAGATACATGTTTCACATTTCTGGCACACCTTCTCACAACTAAAATACGGGGCATTCTTGAATCTTGAGTTTTCCATTGCCCGTTTTCCTATTCCCCACTTACACAGCAAGCGGTGGGGTCAGCCATCCAAGCAGTTGGAGACCCCGAAAGCCGGCAGTAGGGGGGTGTATCCTTCAAGCTGATTGGCTCTTATCTAAGAGAGGTTGCTCTGATTGGCTCTTATCTAGGGGGAGGTTGTGACGTGAGGGGTTTTGACAGTTAGGGTGGATTCTAATGGTTACTGGTAGATTCTAATGGTTACTGAGGCTTAGGGTGGTTTTAGGTATGGGGAAGGAATTTCTTTAGAGAAGGGAGACTGACTCTTTTTAAAAGGGAATTTTTCTAATTGGGGTCTTTTGGGTTCTTCACCAGGATGCTGAGCTGATAAGCTCATTTTATCCTTGCCCATCAGCAACTCCACCAAAACTCCAGGGGAGCAGGAGAGACTGATAAATACTCCGATTGAGGCTTTTCTGTTATAAACATCTCCCGGAAAAAACATAAAACTCTGCAATGGATGGAAAGCTCATGTTTTTTTTTTGTACTGACCTCCTTGGAAACATGGCTTTACCGTAAATCTCCTAAACCTGGCACTGCTTTAGATGGAGGCAGTTGCTGTATACTCTGTAAGAGATGGTAATCTCATTTAACATCTCATGATGTTAGGCAAATATAACATAACATATAGAGCCTTTACGAGGAAAATATATGTGTGTGTTTATATATATATATTTATGCACACATATTTTATACATTATTATATATATATATATGAAACTGATGCTAAGCTTCAATAGTTTTTATGGTAACGAAATCTAC